TATGTTTTTAAGATAAATTCAGACAAGAATGAACACTGCTTATAAAATATATCGAGGGGCCTCCCTGGAGGTGCTGGGATTAAAGATAGTGCTATCAAGCTATCACCAGCCACTGCAGCACAAGTTCCATCCCTGGACTGCCAGGGAGCTAATACACATGGTGTAGCAGACCTCTTCTATCTTGCCCATTATTCCCCTCATGTACTGTATTTTAGTTCATCTGCCTGTTCTGCAACCCACTCTGTCTCTGGGGAATCCTCTCACCACCCACATCTCTGGCCTATACCCCAGTTCTTGTATGCATAAATAAACAAATCTTTAAAAAAAGAAAAAAAATATATCGACAACTGTCCACCAAATTATATTCCTTCTACCACTGCATGAGTATAGCATTTCTGCAAACCAAACCAAAACTGAGTATGTTATTAGAGGTGAAAATATCCTGCAGTGATTTGTCTTGTTACAAATATACATCCTTTTTGTGTGTGTGCGAATTGCATTCTTCTTAATCCATTCTTCTGTGAGGTTTTGATTTTTTCAAAGTGATTTATAAGCAGCCTACATATATTCCAACTTTGATTTGTTAAACACTTAACAAACTTAAATTTGTTAAACACTTAACAAACTTAAATTTGTTAAACACTTAACAAACTTAAATTTGTTAAACACTGAAAACAATTTTGCTCCCAATTCAATTAATATTTTTCCTTTATGATTTCTGCTTTCATGTGTAACACGTTAATACCAACACTGTATATACAGTATTTTCTTCTTTCTAGTATGTTTAGAGTTTCTTTTTTTTGGGTATATGAACCTTTAATTCATCTGAAAGTAAATTTTTTGTGTTATGAGACAGGGATTTAATTTCCCCTTTTCAATGTCTAACCAAGTGCTTCAGTATCACTGATTTTGGTAGTCATTAGTAATGCAAATGCACAGTTTTAAAAGTTCATGTTTTTTCTTACCTGGTAAAAATAAGGATTAGGTTCAGACTCTCCGACTCCCTGAAAGTCTTCTACATTGATGAGCTGGAAGTCATAGAGCAGGCCAGCGTTTGCTGTACTAAATTCCGGCAAGAGCTGCACGTGGGGTAAGTTTCCTAGATTCTTGTACCGCCAGTTGTA